ATTAAATGGTGCTAAATATTTAGTCATTATTTTTGATATTGTGCTACAACATTACATCATTTTTATCACACGTATCACACGTACAAGTGTTCATTTGACGTCTTGACATATTATTATAGGTTTAAGAGGACGCAACACCCGTCTATTTGTATCAAAAACAGTGAGTTCGTATTTCGAGTGCTACGAAGTTATTAATAATCGTAGACCCTTAAGTAATACAGTGTCTGAAAGGTGATAATTATTACTGTGTTTTGTTGCAATCAGATATTTAAAATTATAATTTTTTTTTAAATTATATAGAATTTAATATTTATAAAACACTCGTTTGTTACGTTATAATGTTCACTTGTTAATACAATCTTCAGAAATCTGTTTCAAACAAAACATAGAAAAAATTATCACCTTTACAAAAATATTTTAGTTATGTGTTTAAGATTAATAATGACTTCGTAGCATTAGAAATACGAAAAAAAGTTTCACAAAAATGTGTGTAATTCTCTACACCTAGCGGCATTTTTCTGTGATTTCTATAAGTATAATTAGCTAACCCGTCAAACGTTGTTTTGCCATATAAATTATATCTAGTGAATATTTTGGTTGGGAAATAAAACATAACCAATTTATTGTAAGTGGGTTTGTGATGTGGTATATAGTGTATGACCGAATGAGGAATGGAGCGCAGGAAACGAAGACGGCCTATATAAAATTATATAAAATTATTTTTATCAAATAGATATAAATCTAACGATTTTAATAGTTATTTTCTAACAGCCTTATTTTTTACATAAATAGAACAAAATAGGGAACTTATTAATAATTTTTATCTGTAATACGTCTCATTTAAACATTTTACCTTTTTTACCAAACCTGGTACCAACCTGGTACCTACTAAATTTATTTATCCTAAAGAATATTATTAAATATTAATATTACAAAATATAATAAAATGCTCGGAAATTTCGAGTAAGTTATTTTCGTCCTATATCGTAATGATAAAATTAGGTTACACTAATTATGTCTATACTCTATATTATAGTCAATTAATACTCGTCACTACTATCATTTTAATCAGTTGAGTTTTTGTGATATTTTTGTTGTCACTGGTTCTGACCAGCTGCGTTAGCTGGCAAACAAAAGTTTAAAATTTAGCTCAAAATAATTCTTCCCCTCGAACACAATGTACCTATATATTGACAAAGTAAACGAATTTCATAGTAACACGAGACATATATTATGCGTGGGTCAAACAATACATTTCTCTTTAAAGGTGTATTTTGATTTATATAACTGACTTAAATCAATATATTCTGTAGTCCTGTTTGATATATTGAAGATACCTACTATTTAATAGTGGAAACATTGTCACATGGATAAATGGATACCTAATATAATATTATAATATGCAATTGATATAAAAAAAAATATGAAATATTTGTGTTAAGTTTCAGCCGTTAGAGCTTATAGAGGGTATATAAAACAACAGCAAATGGTAGCATTTAGGTGATCTTTAGTTAGGTGTTATTTTAAAATATGTTATATGATTATGTTGGATGTACCCACGTACCTAAAATGTCTATGTTATATTATTATGTTTGTATGATGATCGTTGCTAACCACACGACCCATTAGCCACCACCCACGACGACATATAATGTAAAGCAAAGCGGAACCCTCTCGCTCACCTTTTTTATTATTAATTTAATTTACAGAACGTAAAATCTTGGTGGAATAACATTGAAATTATCAGTTTTATTTATTTACTTTCTACCTTTCTACATTATCATTTTCGTTCGTTACATAAAACTTTTATTTGACAAGCAGTGGGGGTGAGGTGTACACATTTATACAAATTTGTACAAATTATGGAGCAATATTAGGCTGTTTTTTTAGCTAAATTTCAAACATATTGAAGTCATGCTTCTGTTGCAATTGTTTTATATTACAAAATATTTAAATATATTGTGTCCTAATTAATATCTAAAATTGAAACTAAATAATTGTATGATAATTTGAATAGGGTTATGAAATTGAAAATAATATTGACGCTGCTTTTAGTAAATTAAAATATTGCGACAGTCAATTTGGAAAACAATAATGAAGTATGACGTATTGGCTGCAAGAAGTAAATGGGTCCCTGGGAGTGTTGTTCTGTGTTACAGCACTCCTGTGGCCTCCTCCTCCACCGAAACCTTACAATACCACCACCCAGGCCCTGATTTACGCATGTGCAGGCGGTGCACTAGCACAAGGCCCCCAAATTTGAAGGGCCCCTCCGGCCTTCCTATTCTATACTTTGCTACCATAAATAAAAGATATTTTTAATAAGATTTAGTAAGTAGTAACTATAACCTATTTAAGGAGGCCGCCGCAGCATGCGTAGTTTTCATACGGTTTACACTAATCACTAATAAGCCATCGATAGTTATATCAGTCATATTTTTTACATTTTTTGTTAAAAAAGGCCCCCAAAGTTTATAGTGCACAGGGCCCCTATTTCACTAAATCAGGGCCTGCCACCACCGACACAGCGGAACACCACCACTCTTCCTGCTCCACCATCGACTTCATTATACAACTTATCCTTAGATCATAATATTATATTGTACAATGAATGGAGCTACAGATCAATATTCTTACAAACATTTTAGCTACGAGTAGCCTGTTACGTAGCCTCTACTACGCAAGCGCCGACTACTAGTAGCTTATTTATCATAATACATTCAGTCTTAGATCACACAATTACTAATGATCGATAATTAATAATATCCAATATTTTCATACTTTAAACTTCAGACACTCATAAAAATATATAAATAAAAGAAGCTGAATATTTATTGATCATTAAGGTAATATTTATACTATATTTAATTCTTATTTATACATCTTACATTTATACCTACATTATACTTGTTTGTATTTTATATTTTATATTGTACATTAATAGAAATGTTTTGAAATAGGGTAAAACAATAGCAAAAATAATTTTTTTATTCTGTTTTAGGACTTATTGGGTATCAATAAGCAACATTTTAAATCAGAAATGAATGTAGCTCCAAATTGCTTAAATAAAAACAACGCCAATTTGGGTATAGAAGATTTGAAAACTACAACCAGCACAGAAATATTTCCGAATTTATACGAATTGCTCCAAGTAGCACTAACTTTGGGTGAGAACTTCTATGCTCAAAGATCGATTTACTAATCTATCTGTTATTCACATTGAAAAAGACCTGACTAAAAGTATTAAAAAACGTAAATTTGTTCTTAAAATCCTCATGAATGCTGGTTATAAAATAAAATATTCATTACTGTTATTACCTAATTATTGATATGTTAACTGTCTTTAATGCATTGTATGCGTTTGTATTTTATATTTAAATGTAATTTTAGTAAATTTTATAGTATCAATAAAAAATGTCTTCACTCAATTCAAAGTAGATAATAAATATCTAATTAAAGTTGTGATTATAAGTGTTAAAACGCTCTATTTGCCCCGAAGACGCTCCTACTTTGGAATCGCGGTTAGTGCACAGTGTACACCAACGTCATATAATTGCCACCAAAACCAAGCTAGATATTTCGAGTGTTAAGATTCCCGAGGAGATTGACGATAAGTACTTAGAGCGCACTAAAAAGCCCAAGGTATTATAATTGAATCCTATACTGTTAAACTTCAATGTTTCTTACATTTTTGAAATTTTTTTTAGACCTACCGACCAAGTGAAAGAAGGAAGTCTCATCAGAAGATAGTTGATGTAGGTACAGATATTAAAAACAATGACACAACATCAAGATAAGAAATCTCTGTTATTGTACCTGTCATCCATGTTTGGGTTAAGGAATAATCAATACCCACACAGAATGCAATTTTAAATTTACTGCTAAAATATAGATGAGCGATGAAGACTTAAATATTATATTTATGCATTTTACATATTTTAAGAGTAATGTTAATTCACACACAATAATCGCCTCTATATCTAAGTATGCTAAAGGATAGCAGCCGGCTTATAGCTATTGATCAATTTATTATTGTACGTCGTATACTCAGTATTCGGCAAAAATAAAATAATATAAACAATACTACGTAAAGGTATAAAATATTATGGTAATGTATAATTATACCGATAGGCTCATGTGTAACTACAGTCATTAACAGCTAAACGAGATGTAAAAAAAAATATTTATATAAACAATTCGTTAATTTAATGTTGTATAGTTATATTTAATTGTATTATAATTTTTGTCTACTCTAGCTATAATGACTTAAAATACTACAGAAACTAGAACAGATAATACGTCGTCTTTGAGTAAAATACAATTTGTTGATTTGTTCAATTTTTGCTGTGCTTTATAATCCTTCCATAAAAAAAAGTCGAAATAAAATATCGAATAAGTTTATTACATATAAATTGTTCTGATAGTCGACTTGTTTTGCAATACTTAAACCGGTCCATGTTACTAAGCCAAAATACAGTCAAGTTTGTACTATGTACTAGGATAAAATGCAATATCTTCAACAATACTTACGACGTTAGCGCTCAGTACAGTGTATTTGTGGCCATAGGCGGAGATTTGATCAAATTTGAGGGGGAGCTTACATGTTGCTTTGCAAAGTAAGCCGTGGGGGCTTTGCCCCCACACCCCCACTCTAATATCTATCATGCTTTCACTCTTCAGTACGCATCAACTATTAAATTACTAAATTACAAAACTACTAATACTAAATATGAATTACTAACTATATAATATTATGCACTTTAAAAATTATTAATTTATAATATAATAAATATTTTATTATTTTAATACAATAAATCTATTTTTATTAGCAAATATATCAATAACTTTCTCAATATTAATATTGATATCTTTTTCAATGTACAATATTGAAGAGTTATTAAATTTTTCTTGCAGCATACTCGTGCGTAGCCATGTCTTGACTTTGCGCATTGCAGAAAAGCTTCGCTCACATGTAGCCGAGCTGATTGGTATAGTTATGGCTACCTGTAGAAGCTTGTATAAGTTGGGAAACACACTTTTAGAAATANAATTATTAAAATGTTTACTTTATTCCATTTTTTAAAACCAATTTTGGTAAATGTATCTTCGGTATTGTTCCCAGAACCATAAATACGACAAGCAAAACAGTACAAAGCGTCATTGATGATACTATATTCAAGCCATTCAAAGCAGTCGTAATATGATGCATTAAAACTACGGTTTTGTTGACCAAATTTTGTCATTGGATAAGACTGGAGCATAAATTAAAAGTAGTAGTCACTAAAGTCACTCTATACATTTTAGCATGCAAATAACTTTAATACAAAATAAGCTACCTATAAGCAATATTGCCAATATTTATCTCAAATATATAATATCTACCCTACCTTCATAATTGGACGTGATGGACCAGAGTTAATATTACCCAAATCATTTATTTCACTAATATGAAGCCGCGGAGAATCAAAATCAATATTCGATGACGAGTCGCCGTCGGAGTGTACTGTAGTTTTTTCAGGAATTTCCGTCGGCAACACGTTTTCAGATTTTACAGTTTCTTTAGGTTTTTTTTTAATATTAAATAATTCAAAATAATTCGACATTTTAATAAATAATTAATAAAGTATTCGAGTATTCGACCGAAATTACGATTTACAACAACAGTAAACAACGCAAGACGCAACACGATAAACGAAACGGTCGAAACAGCAATCGGCATTCGGCACATTAATAATGTTTATCAGACTGTGATTATTGGAAATTTCTATTTTTGTCATTGCGATAAATGCGATAACAATCCGTCGCGACGGTCAGCCGGTGCGCACCGATGACGATTACGAGGTATAATATGGTATAATAATAATTATTATATTGACATTTATTTTGACAACATTTCGGGAAAAAAAAATATTTTGTGAAGTTCCAAGATTTTGTCAATCGTTGTAAAATAAGTACCTATTTTAATATTATATACCATGAAAAATGTTTGATAATTTTGGGGGGGCTTTCGATCTTTTTGGGGGGGGGCTAAGTCCCCCCAAGCACCCCCCAATCTCCGCCTATGTTTGTGGCGTTTTTTCCTAGTAACCACAAACTTTTCTACGATTTACGGAGTTTTAGTTATTTGATTATTGCTTGTATTATACTTTTGGAGTAATATTTCAGACATACGGCATATTCATCTATACAAGCTAAATTTTACAATAATTTATTTGTTTTTAACTCATTTTTATTATTTTTTTTGAGACTTACGGCGTTTTTGCTCATGGCGGCAGAGTACAGGTCATTTAATGTTGTCTTAAATATGTACTTTGGTACTTTAATTTAATTAATTACCTTATTGATATTACATTTTTAGGACATCAACTATTATCCATCAAGGTAATAATATTCTATGTACAATTTTGTGTCCTTAATAATTATTATCAATTTCATTTATTATCATCAAGATATATTTAAAATTGAAAAAATGTATAAACAATGTGTTCTAAATGATTAGGTAGGTTTTGTTACCCTACATTTAAATAATATTTCCACAAATAATTATTGTGTTTACCTACCCATTCATAATTTGTTGAGGTATTTTTGTTACATTTTCCAAACTTATTTATTAATACGTTAGGTATATGTATTAATTAAAAAACAAAATTTTAGATGGTCAAGGCTAAGAAAGCAATTGCTAGCTTGGCTAAATAAAAAAAGAAAAAGTCCAAACAAAATGTATTGAGTGGTAAAGCAACGTGGAAAGTACACTGGTATATACACCGGTACCTAAGTATTTTATTTGATTATTGTTTTTAAAACTATGGTAAAAATGTATTCTTATTTTATTTCATTTTTATAGAAAAAAAAGTCCGTAATTGTAAAACCCAACACGGGCGAAAATAATGGTAAAATCAGTGAAGTACACACTGTCAAACGCAAGGCATAGGTACTTACCGAACATTAAAAACGTAACTAAAAATATATTATCTTTGAATAATTTTAAGTTAAGCTTTTTATATTTGATTCATAAGTCTGTCATTTAGAGTAATACCTATGCAAACATTTTTTTCTCTCACTGATATTTACGCGTCATATCAAGTTTTCTAACTAAATATGCTGGTGATATGTTAACTATGTGTGTGTTCTGTTCCTATATGGCCCACCGATTCACTGGAGCATTTATTTCTATCTCATTTCAATGGTGTTCTTCAAATGTGGTTTTTTATTCCAACTTTTTGAGATTTAAGGTACTATACTTAAACATTGAAATTAAAATATAATCTATTGTGGATAATTTAAGGTTTTTTCAAGTTATTTAACAACTGATGTTTTTTGTTAATACGTATTATTATAATTTACAAATAATTTGAGTGGTTGTTGAACCAGGGTCTGAGGTATACGCATTGAAGTATTCCTGTGCTAAAGAAAGTTCATAAATCAAATTCATTTATATTTATGCACCATTTATAAAATAATGAATTCATATACAATTGACACAAATATAAAATAAGTGACTTAAAATTAATTTGTATATCAGCAAGACTGTATATTCTTGTTGTCTAACAAACTATCTAGAGTTTTATAATTTATTCAACCATTATTAGGATGTTAAGATTTTTTTCAACAAATTAAAAATATTTGTGTAACTCTGGAAAAAAAAAATTATAGAATTATCCAATCATTTAAATTTAATCCATATTTATTTATAACAATATAAAAATGTTCTGTGTTACACTATTTTATATTGGGCACTATTAATTACAATTTTAATTCCACGATATGAAAGATTTCTTTTTAAATTTTTTTATTAGAAATATGCCCTGCAGCATAATATTAGTTCTTACAATGACAAAAATCATAATTTATTTTCTTTAATATTAATTTTTACAATGACCATTTGTTTTTTACATACGTTTTAACTGTTTATATTAAATTTTCTATTTCTATTGCTTTTGTGAAGTTTTAAGTCTGTTTAGTTGTTAACACATTCAGATCTAGGGGTCGATATAGAAACTCTTTAATTTTGTGTTTAGTTCTGGCAAACTCCATTTATCTGCATTTGACGAGTACATGTTTGATTGTCAGCTGAAATACACATGTTACGCAATTGATTTGTTCTTCATTGTTCATCAGATAACCGTTTGTGTACCCAGCGAACTATCCTTAGACGTGTTAACAATACATATTCTTTTCTGTTAAGATTCGCTATGTTTTTCCAACGTTCTGTTGTGCGTTTAATTTCGCTGAGCTTGCAGGTTTCCTTTTCTTTTAGCAGATGTTAATACATCTTAGTACGTCTTCATATAAGTATGGTGCTTCTCGCTTATTTCTATTTTCTCATTATTAGCTGCTTCCTTTGCTAGACGGTCAAATCTTTCGTTTCCTTCAATATGTTACTGTGTCCTGGTATCCAGACATTAGTTATTTCGTTTTCATGGCAATTTATTGCTTCTATTATTTCTTATTTTATACTGCTGTTATTTCCGTGGCTGCTTAAACATTTTACAGAGCTCATAGCGAGTCTGTGAATATGACGTAGTATCGTAGTTACAAAGTAGTTGACAGTTTTTTATATGTTATATGGCAAAGTACGTATATTGCTAACTTTTCTGTAGTTATTATATTTATTTAATTGTTTAGCTGAAAATAAGGAGCTATAGTAGCTATTTCAGTTATAATATAGGTTTGTAATAAGCTAATGATGTATTTGAGATATTAATAATTTTTCCACGGTGGAATGTTTAGTATTATGTACTTAAGATTGATTCGTTGGTCTGTTGAGAGCTTATTTATTCTTCTGTAAATCGGTTGTATTAGCTTAATGTTGTTATTTAAGGTATTGTTGAGGTGGAGATTGAAAATTATGTGATAGGTAAATTTCTCGTTGTACATTGCATTAAGAGCGGCATATTTGAGTAGTTATTGGTTTCGTCTATTTTTAACTTATCTGTTTGTTATTTGGTTTTATTAGGTTTTTACTATTTGAAAATATAATTTATTAAAAAGCCTAAAGATTCTTTCCACTTATTTAGATTTTAGATTATTTGTGCAGTGTTGGATTTTGTTTGCCCTATATCTAAGTCTTTATGTCTGATCCAGGTGTAACTGTCGTAAGCATAAAGCGACATTTTGTTTGGTTTTGGTATTTGTTGGATAATAATATTATTAATTAAAACTAGAAATAATGTTGTGCTGATGGGTGAGCCCTACAAACAAACTTATATTTCGGAAACTTAGGTCAACGTATGATTTCCATATCGCTATATAGAACTAAATCTGTGAAGCATTTCAAACAACACATGCTATTACTTAGTACAGACAGTACAGTCATCAATTAAAAAGTGGGGGGCTTACCGGAAACTTAATTAATAATTTTTCAAAGTTGCCATCAATGGACTACTCAAATCAATATATACTTGAAAATGGAATCTGAATTGGATTCTGAATCTAATAAAACATTTGAATGTTAGAATATAATATGGGACGTATAAATAATATATATTAAAACCAATGATTAATATAACAACTGAATTTGGATAGAACTTGACAGATTTTTCCTTTTGTATATATTTTAGCTTTAGCAATTAAGCTGTAGGTTATTGATGACTAAATTTACATTGAAACCTAAGATTTGTATGCCTTCCTAATATTAGTACAAGTTGAGCATTAAAAGTTTAATTTTTTATAATAATCAATAACTACAAAGCTGTAAACATCCAGTAGTTTATATTTATTTCTTTACAAGAAGTTTATAATTGTACATTTAATTGACACAAATAATTGATTAATTTATGACTTATTAGTGTATTACATCTTACGTAAGTGTTCATTGGAGGATTTTATAAACGAAAATTGATCTACAGTCGCAGGTTATCCGCATTGATGTAATCCTATGCTAAAGAAAGCTCATAAATCATATTGTTAATTTCTATATATGCACCTTTTTTATGTAAATATATATAAAATGAACACAGATAAGTGATACATTTATTAATTTTTATTTTGATATATTACTTTCTTATGATCTAATTTTGTAAAGTTAAGATAAAGTTGTGAATTGAGAGCATAAAGTATTCATGTGGTAAAATGAAAAAAATTAATAATAACGCAGGCAATTATAGCCTTTACTGCTAATAGACTAACTGACTTTTTATTTATGTGTAATGTGTAATTTATTCATATTGTTTATATAGTAAAAATTGGTTGTTTCTTTATAAATACATGAATTTACTACTACATGTATTTTTTAAATCTTGATTTTACTTTGTATGAACCTCAACATTCCTTACTAAGATTTAAAAAAAATCTTATTCTTAAAATGATTAAAAGCATATATAATCTGTTATTAATACTTTAAACGTTTTTTTATTCAAGAGAGTTAATCATTATCTTACTATTATTACTAAAAATTGTTGTACATTTAATCCCCCAAAATCATATAACTAAATAAAATCAGTTTTCAAAATTACAATTCTGTTGAGTAACTTCAATACCTTCAATTAATTCAGGTACTATATTTAGATTAATGTTAAATTTAATTTAATTTGATTAACAAATCCAGTGGCTAGTAGCTGCATTAAAAGCATTGACAGTTTTGGTATAAATCTAAAATATTTGAAAGGATAATGCTACGATGAGGCAGCTGGTATGAGTAGAAGATTTAATGGTGTTCAATGTATGATGAAAAACAGTACAAGACAGCCATGGGTGGATAGGCTCAACAGGATGTTCCCGGTAGGTCCCCATCAATATTATACTCAAAGGCCCCAATCCCAAAAAATAAAAATAATAATAATAATAATATAAAAGAAGATTTTTATAATACTAGCTGGTGCCCTGGCGGCTGTGCAGTATTAAATATTGATGGGTATTTGTAATATTTGTATACTCCATTAGGGACTAGTTACCTCAGTATAACCTCGTTGATACCCGTATAAATACATAACATTATATATTTTGTTGTATGTACTATTGTGCTAAAACTAAATAATATTGTATAAAATGTAAATATAAATAAATATAATAATAATTAATTTTTCAATTAGTCAGAGCTAAGTATGACATATCTACTAGCCAAATAGCACTACAATAGTTATAGCTTATGAAATGAATATTCATTTTTTACAAAAAGAATGTTTATGTCATACTTTTGAATGGTCTATCATTCTTCTATCAATCTGATAATATAATCCAAAAATGGTCAAATGCACCACTTTTAATCATTCCATGAATATGCTATCAAGAGTTCATATCTATTATTCATAGAATATTAATAATTAATAATAAAATATTCTAAGTTTATTCAAACTAGAATTACCATAGAATGATCTAATATTGACATGATGAGATTCACCAAATCAATGTAATATAAATATTCATTTCATATTAAAAATAAATAGGTAGTTCATTCATAATTGACCAATCATGGAATAATATAATATTGTTATGAAGATATCAACCAAATTTATGAACTATGAATATTTATTGCATATGTGTGAATAATAATATACCTAATATTTTTTTATTATATTACCTATTATTTGTAAATGATTTATGTCCATCTCTCAGTCTTAGGTCTTAGTATTATAGAAGTTACCATTGTCTTTTTTATAATGGACCTATTCACAACACTCATCCAGGTTCGCAACCTATCTAGCTACAATTTTTCTTACATACCAAATTTTTATATATATCCGTCCACTGTCTTGACAGGGGACCTAAATATCTTAACTTCTGAACTTATAACATAACTTAAGTTCCGAGTATCTTATCACACTCCCAATAGTATAAACCTATAAAACTCTTAATAATATGTATTGAATATCATTATTAAAATTAAAACTCATACATTCATTTAAAAGTATGTATGTAACGGGCAATGTAAACCACAAATTTTTTTTTTTAATCAACTAATATTATTTTTTATTATTATTATAAATTATAATCAATACCTATTAATAGTAATAATTTTTTTTTTAAACAATCATTATTAATTTTATTCGTGTACCATAATATTACAAATATTTTGATGGAATAACAAAAAAAAATTAACAAGTATCATCAAATTATTTTTATGTTTATAATAAATTATAATTTCATTATTATCTATTCATTTGAACAATATTTAGAAGCATGGCACTTGGAATTACATAGTCTGTCTGCTTTTCAACACTTGATTTTTAAATAGGCAGTAAGATAAGTAACAAAAATAAGTTTATACAGTGTTTCAAAAAATTCATAGTTTATTGTATTATGATACATGAATAAAATTAGTAATGATTGTTTAAAAAAAAAATCAATACTATAAATATGTAATAATCAGGGCTCGTAAGTTCATGCACTAAAAAAAGCACAAAATAAGCAGGCATTCATGCACTAAAAATTGGCAAAATATGCACTAAAAAGTTCGAAAATATGCATTTAAATGCCCTTACATTTTAAAAATTATGCACTCAAAATATGCATTATGTAAAATATTTATGAGCAAATTTTAAAATAATAAGAATATATCCATTAATTTTAAAGTATTTTATTCCTTTTAATTTTTATATATTTAACAATCAAAATTAATAAAATGAATTCTTGTGAAGTTCATATAATCTGATAATCATATGGATTTGTCATCTTTATTAATTTTAATTAGGTAGTCATTTTTTGTCTAATTTTGGTACACCATTATCCTGCACCTACAATGAAAATATTTGGAATGAAATATTAGTTATTTGACATTTTCACGACTCGAACAGTTAAACAACTCATCGGCGACTGGCGTGTGCAAGAAAACTATACTGTACCACTGTACCAGTGTACAAAATTGTAGATGCGGATTGGTAAGAAACATTGTACAGGTGTACATGCTTCTACAGGTATCGTTTCGACGAGGGACTAAACACGGCGGAGGATGGTAGTAACTAGTAGTAGCTATAAAATTGTTTCCGCGGTACTAAGTAAAACGCATAAAATCTAAATAGGGAAATACTAGAAAAGTAAGTAGTCACACGAAAATAAAAATAAATCAAAACACTCTCATTCAGTAAACGAGAAAGTAAATAAGAAACAAGAAACATTTCAAATATTTTTCTAAACAATTTTTTTATGAAATAATATGCGTTATAAACTATAAAAAAAACGACTATATGCAAAATATGCCTTTACACCCAAGACATGCTAAAACATGCACTATTAAACTTCATATTTTTATTACTATTGTTATGAAACGGATTTGTATCTCTGTTAGCATATTTTTCTGTGTAACAAAAAAAGCATGCAAATGCATGAACTTACGAGCCCTGGTAATAATAATAAAAAGTAATATTAGTTGGTTAAAAAAAAATTTGTGGTTTACATTGTTCGAGCCAGGACCACATTGATATTCCACATTGCCCGTAACATATACTATATACATATGAAGATTTGATTTAGATTCTAGGTATATTTTTATTAAATAAACCCTAAGCATAGCCCATAGGTGTATAGTTCTTTAAAAAAAATATTTATTACGTTAAAATTTAGTGGCCAGGCCTGGCTGAACAGTTAAAACAAAGTATTTGCCAAAAATCATTTATTAATATTATTTGGTGTGGTCATCTTGAGTCTTTCACTTGCTTTTGAAAGCCATAAACTTGCGGCAGATTCAATGTTCTTAATCAAAGTTTGATTGAATATATAAGAAGACTGGGTTGCTTCTAATATAAATTAATACATAAAATTATAAATATTTCAAAATAATACAAAGGTATCAAGCATATTAACAATCCCAGTCATCCGTTTAAGAGATGAGAGCATCATTCAACATTAATACTTTGTTTTACGCACACATATAATATTATAAAATCTCAATATTTCACTTATTACAATTACATTATTAAAATTAAGGTATCAATTCATTTTAACAATTAAAAAATAATAATATCAACTCTGTTTTAAGTTACATAACTATTTAATTTTTTTAATGTTTTAATATTCAAGAAAGTAATAAGTGTTTAATTTTTTTTAGTTAGTTTGTAGTAAGGAAAACCTTATTATTATTATTTCTTCAAAATAACAAATATTACAAAAATATTATGTTTATTCTCTATGATTGTTTTATAATAACTTAATTCAATAATATTGATAAGTCATTTTAGTTTTCAAGCCTACTATAATTAATACAAAGTATAATTTATTCTTACTTGTAAGTAAAGAAGACAAAATTGTTTTGTTGAAAGGTTATTTGTTTCCTTTGTGCCGAGTGTAACTATATGATTTGGTATAATCATCAGTTATGATTTGTTTTAAGATATGCCTCACTGCCTGTTAATAATTATCACCACCAATTGTTGTCTGTTGATAACATATTTACCTTAAAAATACATATTTAATTCATAGAGTCAAAGAAATAATATAATATCTACAATTAGGTATAATTATATATACAGCAGTCAACAAAAGTACATAACTATACATGTTTATTTACTTATTATTGTAATTACTTACAGTTTGATCGTATAAGGCGTTGTCGTCAGTGAAAGCTTCTTTAAACATATTTAATTAATTGTTAATTGATATTGGGAATATTTCACATATTTTTTCAAATTGTTGATTAGATCCTAATGATGGTGGAACCATCAGATTTTTTCATTATCTTGGATGTTACTGACTACCAACATTATGGGGTGCAAATACTCTCCTTATTCTCTTTGCCTAGCGTTTAATGTTACTAGTTGTCTGATTATTTGTTTTTGAACTTCTATACAAATTAAACCAATAATGTAATAAAATTTAAAATAAATAATATAATCAAATTTAAAATACATATGTATTGCCTGTTTAATTATAAACATTTATATATGATTATAAAATAAACCTATTTGTTTTGATAGTAAATAGATTAATGAAATTTAGAATTTAAAAAAAATTATCCTATTCCATAAATTTTTGTTAATAAGCCTCTGGTATGAAAATATTAACCTTCGATAAGTAGTACTGTTAAGTGGATGTTGCACCTGCACATGTTGTCTCCGGCTTACATACGCACGACATACTAAATTTTTGTTCACCAGTTTCAATAGTGGACCGTTAGTTTTGATACTAGAATAAATTTAACTTACTATCAAACTTTCAGGTAACAACATTTTCTCTGTTCTCTAGTTGGGTTTTAACAATATTTTAATTTTCAAGTGAGTTATGAGTATGTAAAATATAAATATTTGAAAATGATCACTTAAAAATTAAAATATCGTAAAAAACCATTGAGAGAACACGGATAATTTACTTACCTTAGTAGAGGTCCACTCTTAATGTCAAAACTAACAGTACACTATTGAAACTGGTGAACGAAAATTTGTTGTTTTACGTGTGTAAGACGGAGACAACATATACTGGTATGACGTCCTCTTAATTATTTTTATAATGAACCACAATTACAATTTAATTTAAGTTTATTATTTGGATCTTCAGCAGCATCAGTGGAGTTTTCGGTGTTTAAACCTATATAAACAGTACATTTGTAAAATTGTATTATAGAACTGCAATAATTAAAATTAATTTATATTATAAATGGTACAAATTGTAGTTTTTTGAATTTACTAAATCACCTTTATCTTCAGAAATGGTGTTACTATTATTCATCATTGAAACATCTAATAGCACTGATAAAATACTCATCATTTACAAAATCAACAATAATTATCTGATTACATGCAAAAAAAAAAATAGTAATAATTATATATTATACAGTGTTTAAGATATTTAGTGAAAATAAAACAAAATATTTACCAATTTGATCTGATAGAGATGTATTACATGGTTTAAAATTATCCTGTACAACATTCCCTATCATAGTTAATTCATTTTAACTTGAATGAGTTACACTATTTTTAACAGGAAGCACTTTCAAGCTTCAGGAATCAATTTCTAAAATTATTTATATATTAATTAAGAATTATACTTTATTTAATTATTTATTAATGTAATAAAAATTCAAATGTTATTTTTTTTCTGATTTTTTTTAATAGTAAACTTACTAGAAAATTTAGGGAAATTTTGAAGATCTGTGTCACTGTCACTGCTATTAGAATCATTAGTCAATGATGAATCATTTTAACTTCCTTTTATAATTTTGTGTTGTACACGAAGAACAAAAATGTCACATAATTCTAATTTCATAAGAGTCCCATTGATATTTAATTCAGAATGTACAATACCATGTGCTAATTTAAAAACATACAAGATTTGGATAAGTATTGATCTTTTTACGTTTTCATAAGTCTGATGAATTGGATTTTGAATCGATAGATGTAGAATTGGTGTTTGCATTGAATCAGGTGTATAACTTAAATTTTTACATCCATGTGTCGCAGTGATTGCAAGTTCTTCCATCAGATTCAGCAAAAACATTATTTTGCAACAATGAATCACACAATATCTAAAAAATCAAAACAAACAGTAAATATATATAGCAAATATTGGGAAATAATATAATGTAAGTAAATAATTTGGTACTGGGATGGCCCATCCACGACTTGCATCAAAGATGTGAGTTTGTATTGTGTAATAGTATAAAATGATAGGAGATATAGAACATACTCACGGTTAAAAAACATTACGCAAAGGGTTCTAAATAATATAAATATAAATTAGTTAATTTTTGATATGAACTTAATTTGAAATTCGAGGATGCATATAGAAAAAAAAACTTTGTTTTATGTTAAAATTGCTACACTCCACTCTTATATATCTTTTATTATAATGTGAGGCTCTCTCACTGATCGCAAATCCTGGTATATTGTTAATACGTTTTAACCAAAATTATACACATTAGTATCGCCACAATATAACATATATATTACATTCAAAACATTTTTTACCTTCAACAGCACTGTCTCTGTTACAGAAAATAAGTGTTTCTTTTTTGGTGACGAGTATTGTATTCTTTACATATACTTTTCTTATCCAATCACTGCCAGATTTTCCTATACAACATAAAAGAAATTAGTTTTTTTTTTGGTGATTCTCTACCAAGTTAAAAAACAATATATAATATTTTCATTAAATTGATAAAGAAATATTGATAGTTTAATATTTTAGTCATTGACTTCTACTTTAAGGTACACTGATACACACAACATTTATAATTTAATACAATTCAATTAAAAAATTATGTTTTTAGTTTAATGCGGTCATATTGTTAATCAACATTTTCTAATATTGTTTTCTTGCTTTTACATAATCCTATATGTTTTTTCAATGAAAAATTAATCATAGGTATTTGAGGAGAAATTATTTGTCATTTGGCTTTTGAAACCGATATTCTACAGTATTCTGTGTACAGATCACTTCACATTCTGTACATCGTTTAAGTGTTTTTGAAAACAATAAAAATGCAATGTCTTAATACATATTTGTATAGTGATTCCATGTAGAAACAAAATATTTATAATTGGTGGTGATCGAAATGAATAATTTAGGTATATTTAAAAAAAGTTGTATGCAGCATCTCAAAAAATATATTATTAATGGTATTCAGATCTGTTTTTGAACCAATCAAATAGTAACACCAAAAATCTTTATCAAGAAAATAACTATTATTAAACTGGTAATTTCTAGTGATACCTACAGACATTTATATTTTATTTAAAAATATTAATGTTTGTACCAATGGCCACAAACGTAGTTGTAGCACAGCTCTAACAGTATTTTAGTTAAGAAATTAAAATTCATAAAATTTCATATACCACATTTACAAAACCTGATTGTGTTCGTAGATAATTTATGCGAATTGGTTTAAACTGGCAAATGTGTGTCCTTTGAATCAATTATTGTTTATCTTACAAGAATCCGGTCAAACAATTCTGAAATAATAATTGTACAAAATTAATTTTAAAACATATAAATCGGTATAACATACTACAATATTGTAACTTATGATATCGAACAATGAACATTCATGGAAGGCGCTTAAAGTTTGGTAGCAATTGTAGCAAATTGCCTTCCTTCAACACACAAAAATTCATTGTGTATCATTATTGACAGGTACTTCAAAAGTTTGCAAAATAAAGGTACATAAATGATGTGTTTATTTTTAAAAAGAATCTTGGTTTTGAACTTTTCTAGAATTTGTATCGCTTAGTGATTGGGTGGACATCAAAATTGATATGGTTCATAATCTCTTATGATATTGATAATTCATTACTTATTCACACCATGAAGATTATTTTCAATAATTTAAATGTTTTCTTTTTTTTTAACTTTTAGCTCTTATCCACAATTCAATCTTTTTGGTTTTTCCTTACGTTCATTGTGCATATAATTAGTACTAACTGTATCTACAGTATGTCTGTATCAAGCAATAATTTCAATGGACTGGGTCTTCTGTGATAAGATTTATTTAGTCTATTCTGAAATGAATAGTCAGTTGACCAAGTTTAATCTACCCTAGGAAATATAAGTCTATGGCTAACATACTACATGGACCTTCATCTAGATTTGACGTTTGCCCAAACTCTGAATTATGCAACTTCAATTTAAAAAAGGAACCTCGCAGGCTGAAGAAGAATAAACAATGTTACTTAATTCTAATTTCAAAAGAGCCCTAATGACATTCAATTTAGAATTTACAATAAAATGTGCTAAATTAAAAACGTACAAGATTTGGATAAGTATTTAACTTTTTTACCTTTTTGTAAGTCTGGTGTGTTGGATTTTTAAACAGGTAGATGTAAAATTGGTGTTTGCATTGAATCAGGTGTATAATTGAAATTTTCACATCCATGTGTCGCAGTGATTGCAAGTTTACACAAAATCTTTTTTCAGATTCAACAAAATGATTATTTTGCAACAATGAATCACACAATATCTAAAAAATCAAAACAAAGAGTAAATATACATAGCAAATATCGGGAAATAATATAATGTATTGTAATATAGAGTAAATAATTTGTTACTGGGATGGCCAATCCACAACTTGCGTCAGAGATGTGAGCTTGTATTATGCAGTAGTATAAAATGGTATTACATGAAGTATAGAGGATACTCAAGGTTAAAAAGTATTAAGCAAAGGGTTATAAAAAAAAAATTAGTTAATCTTTGATATGAACTTAATTTGATATTGAAGGATACAAATAGAAAAAAAACTTTGTTTTAAGTTAAAATTGCCACTCTCCACTTTTACATATCTTTTTTTATAATGGAGGCTCTCTCATCGATGGCAAATCCTGGTATATTGTTAATACGTTTTTAACCAAAATTACACACATAAGTATCGACACAATATAACATACATATTATATTCAAAACACTTTTTACCTTCAACATCACTGTCTCTCTCACAGAAAATAAGTGTTTCTTTTTCGATGACGCGTATTGTTATCACTGCATATACTTTTCTTATCCAATCACTGCCAGTTTTTCCTATAAGACATGAAAGAAATCAAACATTCATGGTAGGCACTTAAAGTTTGATTGCGATTGTTGCATATTTCCCTCCCTCAAAAATAAATAGAGAAAAGTAGAAAAAAAACCAGAGAGCTCATCTTATCATTGTCATTGGGAACTGGTCGTTAATTTTTGAACAGTATCAAGATTTTCAAGAAGAAAAATTCGATACGTATCGATACGTACCACCTCGTATCGAAGTCCGAGTTCGATACGGGTGGTACGTATCGCTTGTATACTGCACGTGTAACTTCTTGAACGCTCAAAATTGCCTCGATACGTATCGATACACTCCAAATTCTTCCTTGAAAATCTTGTACCATCTACTTAAGTAGTATACAACATGAAGGAAGAGTGAGATTTGAAATTGTCTTATCTGGATATTTTTTTTCGACTCACAGACGTATGAAGAGTTATGTGGCTTTCAAAAGTGTTTGTCAAACCACTCGTCAAGTAGTTATCGTTTACGACGTTATAAATTTGTCGTATTTTTTAGTTAGTAATTAATTCAATTTTTGAAGTAGACACTCACTTTATGCATTATCTTCTCATACCTTACAGCCCCGGACAGTATTGAATGATCCAGCAATTGGTTCCCAGCCTTTTTGAGCAACTATGAAAGTGGACGTACTGTTGATTTACTGCTTAGATGTAGTGAATCAACCTGAAAATACCCGTTCAAAGCAATCATTTGATCGATTATTGCCAGGGCCTAAAATTTCGATAGAGTTCTTAGACATTGTTTAAACAAACAACAATTACCAAGGTACCTTTTAACTACAACGAAGGTACAATGATAGGCTATAATATAAGTTATAACTGTGAGACTACGATCTATATATCATATTCTCCAGGTTATAATTTAACTATACGTCCTACGTGTATTTCATCGGAGGGTCGTTATAAATACTACCTATTACGGCACCAAAATATTGTTATCATTGTGTAGTCGTTATCATTTTTGTCTTATCAAAAGTTTAGGTATTCACATATTATTATTTATAATTCACACTAATTCACATAAAATAAAAAGGTAAAACACTGTTAATAACACAATTTTGTAAAAAAAATTCTATACATAGTATGTTTGTCAATATTAAGTTATTATTAAGTTAATTGTTAATTAGTTCTTTTTCTTTTTTTTTGTCTTTGGCAAGTCTATTAATGCTGATGAATTACGTTTAGAAGGTAATAAGTTTAGCCCATCTTCTTTATTTGCCATACCACTCATTGTCTTATAAACGCTATTCAGAACCTCCAATTGTTTTGACCATTCTGCTGAATATTCTTTTTGGTCTATTAAGTAAGTCAGGTCTGTAATTTTTTTAAGAATTTCTCTACTTTGTATTGGCAGGTTAATATCATTTTCTATGTTTTTAGCTTTTATATTTTTTTGTTCAGTTGTAGCATTTGTAGTATTTTGTACTATAATCGTACTTATTTCTTCTCGTGGGCTGGTTATTGAGTACCTAGGGTCAGCAGATATGTAAACATTGTTTTTGAATTTTTCAGGCAGATCATTAAATGAATAACCTGGTACATATATGAATACTGCACATAAATGTTTGCATGGCCAATGATACTTTTCAAAATCTAAACATGTACAACTTGGTACAGTAAAATCTACTACATATACATTGGACCCATTTTCACTCTGTACTTCAAATTGATGTTCTAATAATGTAAGTTTGTTTATTCTTTNGACGTGCGACAGTACGAACAGAGTCGGCGGTATGAACTATGGTCAAAGTTTTAAACAACGACAATAAAAGGCGTAAACGGCAATGGTAAACAGGGCACAGTTCACAAAAATCTCACGAAAGTTGTGCAGTTGTGCTATGTCCAGAGGCTGAAAAGCGAGTCGTCGGTACTCGCAAGTCGTTCGTAATTCGTAGCTTGTACATCGTGAATCTTGATGGTGGGAGTTGACTGGGTGGTGGGAAACTGGAAAAAACGTCTCGCAAAAACCGTTACAAAACACAACAATAAGATGTAAAAACGCGGGAATTATTAAATACATAATTGAATATATATTTCAAGACGGCTCATTTAGGAATACTAAATTCTAAAATTGAAAATTTGAACTCATTTGGCGGTTGGCTAGGTTGGGTTATCTTTTTCTTTTTCTTTTTTCTCTTTTTTTTTTTCTCCATGAAATTTCGGGACAAGTACCCCAATCCCTATTTATAATGACCCTTCATCGGAACAGTTTATCAACAGTATAAACAGAGTATCAGGAAACATTTTACAGTTCTTATCTGCGTGATAACAACAGTTAGTTCATAATCATAAACCACGGACTAAGATATATTGATATCTTAGTCCGTAACTTACAAATCGTGGTTCATACGATTTGTACGCAGTGACTAGTGAGTAGAATTATAGCCCATAGAAAAGGGAATAAAACCTTACCACAGTCCACAACTCCACATCATAAACATTATTTAAATAATTATATGTTTTATATATTATAGTATACAGTATACCTATGAAGGAAGTGGGTATTATAATTTATATAATTCTTGAACTCTTGGTGTGACTTAGTAACTAATAAGTTACAACTATAATCATAGGCGTAAATTGGGGGGGGGGGGCTTAGGGGGCTTAGCCCCCCTAAAAAATAGTATAGCCCCCTCATTTTAAATCTCCAAATTTCAATTTTTTGTTAGAAAAATAATTCAATTTATTACGTAATTCCTAAGCAGGAAAGCACCGATAGGTAGGTATAAGATTATATTATGATTTATGAACGTTTAAGTAATAGATTTTGTATTGTAAGAAGAACAAATGGCCTTATGTATACGCTATTGTAAAGGGCTAGACATTTTTGAAAAGTTCATTGGTTTCATTAACTGCTCTGAAAGTCAAAATGCTCCATCTCTTTGTGAATATATACTCAAATACTTGAAGGAATGTGGATTAAACTCTAATGCTAAACTGGTAGCCCAGTCCTACGATGGAGCTAGTGTTATGTCTGGGAGATTTAATGGTGTACAAGCTTTAATAAAATGTAAATTTCCATATGCTATTTATACCCATTGTATATTTGTATGGCTCATAGAGTCAACCTTGTAGTGCTTGATATGTGTAAAACTGAAAAGGTATGTGAAAACTGAAAATATAGTATAATATTGTGAATTTATTGTGTATTATTAGGTAGGTATATTTATCATATTGTTTGCTTTAAAGGAATCAAGAAATGTTTTTCATACATTAGAGTCATTATATGTTCACTTTTCTCAACCAGCGAGAAATAAAAATCTCATTGACATTCAAAAAAAATTAGGTATTGAAAAAAAGACTTTAACACGACTGAGTGACACAAGATGGAACTGTCGATATAAAAATTGTGAAGCTTTACAAAAATGTTATGCTTCTATCATAAGATTATTAAAAGAAGAAATTGAAAACAATAATGATAAAGATGTTAACGAAGCAATAGGTATCAATTATAATTTATTACTAATTTAAACATTTTTATTTCTTATAATTAAATGAACTACCTAATTTATATTATTAATTATACAATCAATTTTTTTAATTTTTCAGGAATTCTGACCAATATGCAAAAAGGAATATTTGTAGTTCATTTATTTATTCTTCAAAAGGTGCTTACTATGGTTAATATATTATCAAATCAACTTCAGTCAAAGACAGCTACACTAGGAAATGCGGCAAATGTAATAAAAAGTGTTATTAAATCGTTCGAAGATTTAAGAAATCCTGTTGCGTTTTCACAAATGTGGAAAGAAATATTACAATTTTGTGAAGACCATAATTTAACAATTGAAAAACCATTTCAAAGTATGCATAATATAATAATAAATAATATTAGTACAATAAATATAAACATTAAATAATGTTTGTTGTTTTTTAAATTGTAAAATAGGTTGTAAAAGAAAAAGGTTACAGCCAAAAAGCCTATCAAGTTTTGTCATGAGTACAACTACAAGTGCTCAATACAACACTCCTGAGGAATTAGAGGAAAGTAAAGAAGATTATTTCAGATGTCATGCTTATTTTCCTATATTGGATTGTATAATTGAGAATATGAATAAACGATTCACGCCCGAAAGTTTAGAAATGGCAACATCTATAGATAACTTTTTCAAACTAGATTTTGCACTAAGTACTTACTTCATTGATCATTATAAAGTAAATATGTATATTGTATAGCTGTATAGTGTATATATTGACTAATACTTAATTTTATATTTCTTTAGGATTTGTTAAGTATTTCTGACTTCTGTTGATTCGTTGAAAGCTGAAATGATCGTCGCTAAAAACGTTATAATCCAAACATATGGTACTTCAAAAGAATTAATAACTGATAACTTAAAACTTATTTTACAGGAAAATGTTTACCCAAACTTGTTTCATTTGTATAAAGTAGCTATAACATTACCTATTAGTTCTTCCACGTGTGAGAGAAGCTTTTCGGCCATGCGCCGAATAAAAACATGGTTACGAACGTCTATGTTACAAGATAGATTTACTCAGGTGTCTATATTGTACATAGAAAAAAACGATACCAAAAATATTAATAAAGATATCATTCTTAAGCAATTCGCAGAGGAACATAAATATATTATGTTAAAGTAATATTAAGATGATGTTAATTGTTATTACTTATTAATATTTGAATTAAATTATGTATGGTTTTATTTAATAAATAATTTTGAAGTATTTATATACATGTTTTTAAATTGTAAAATTTGGATGTAGATGGTGAGGGGGAGGAAAAAGCTTGCATAGTAGGCTTGTTATAAAGTTCTACTGTTATAAATTATAAATTATAATCTTAGCGTTAGCCCCCCCTTCTAGCAAGCCAAATTTACGCCTATGACTATAAATATTATAAATGCTTAGTAAGTATAGAATTATTATAAATGTAAAATAAACTATTATTAATGTATTTTATACTACTGCAATATTATAGTTCACTTTAAAATAATACTTAATTCAATACATTTTCATAGTAAACCAGAAAAAAAAATTAAAATACGACTTCTCGTTATATTATGCAATGTCTTCTTAATAAAATTATAAAATTATATAAAAAATAAAAATGATGTTGATATGTTTGATTATCCAAGATAAGAAATAAGTAGGTACCTACCTTTATCAATACACGATGAGGCAAACCGAATTTTTCCAACAAATACGTTCCTAATACAATAATATATTATTATTATATATTATTATTATATATTATTATGAATCTAGGACGTTTCCCCCATGCCTTTTCCCCCCTGATACAATGGACGTCCCCCCCCCTCGACGGGACAATTTCTCCCCCAGACAAAAAAAAATAAATATTAAACAACAATAATATACAATGCAAATAAATAAATGTACAAATGATTAAATTAATGTATAAATATAATGAATATAATAAAATAATAATATAATAAATATAATTGTAAAAATGTATATTTTTATTTTTTTATTCTGGTAAGATAGCTCACTGAAATTAAAAAATTTTAAATATCATCATTTGAAAAACTTTCACATAATTTTTTTAACCTATCATCTTTACATAAATTATTACGAAAAGCTCCTGCTCTATAATTTAAAATTTTGATTGATGCACTTGAGTTGGTCATCTGTAGAGCTTCAATAAAAAGCCCAATATTTGGATGATTAATTCGCACTAGTGTTGTGAATTTATTATTCCACCCTTCCGAAATATTGTTTGTTCTACCTATACCAGCTTTTGTCAACTCAAACACGTTCCATCCTCGTATATTTCGGGTAAATCCAAAGAACCTATTATAATATGTAAAAACAATGTATATTGAGTTGGGGGGAAACGTCTCAGTCTGGGGGGTAAATGTCCAGTGCCGTTAAGATTCCCGGAGGTGGGGGGAAAGCACGGGGGGGGAAACGTCCAGGTACCTATTATTATTACTTATTTTAAATATTTATTATCAATGCTAATACCTATTATCTACGTATCTATTTTTTATATTATTCTCATCACTCTACATTAATATCTATGATTTAAATTTTGGTGCTTATAGTTTCTTCAATTAGTATTTACCTAATGATGATTTTTTATTCGAATAAAATAATTTGTTTAATATTTGATCAATTATTTATATACGAATATTGATGGGTCTAGGGCATCTCACCAACACCTTTTCGGAAACGGAAATTTTAATTTCATGTTGTTTTAGCTTTCAAACCTCTTTAAGGCCATTATGTGTAGGCTTTCCATTCGTCCTGGTTTTAACAGCATGTCCCGGTGTCCCGGCCGGTCATTAATTTTGTCCCGGTTAATGGAAGCCGAGCGAAAATAACTTTAATATCGTATTATTTAATACATATAAAGAATAATAGAGCTGTACTGAAAAAAATCTACTCAACAGAAAAATATAAAAATTAGCTTATAAGTAGGGCCCGGATTTCAATGCAAAGCGCATATTTTTTTGGTTGATCATATACAATGCTTTCTAAGTACATAATTCGTTCCATGTAACGAGGGTTTGAAAGCTACACATTTTATTTTGCATATTTCGACGTTTTTTCTTTTTTAGAGCATTTTTAACATTATTGGGTCATCTGGTCATTTTGTTGGTTTTTAATGCATATTTGTTCAAAATAGATATAAAATTTAAAAAAAACTACAAAAATATTCTTTTGGACAACAATAGGTCATTGGTGTTTCGGTGTTTGAAAATATTAAACATTATATTATTGTCCAATGCAATGCTCAAAATTTAGTAAGTACAAAAGACTTACTGAGAATGTTAATTTTACATAAATTTTAATATATATTTTGGTATGTTTAGAATGAATAATATTTCCCCTAAAACATGCGTGTCAACATCATATCAGTCAATATTTCAAATTTTCAGTTTTTTTTTAGTAAAATATTATGTAAAAATAATTATTATGTCTCATTTATAAATTACAATTTGTATAAAAAAAAAATATATGGCATTTTTAAGGTCATTTTTGTGGTAAATTGTATTTTTTAAGGGCATTTTGGCTATTTTTTAAAGCATTTCTGTATGGTTTTAAGTGCATTTAAATCCGGGCCCTACTTATAAGTTATAATTAGAGGTCGGATTTTTATGATTTTACATATTTGTTTCTAGTTCGTGCAGTTAAATGAGAGTGAGAAATCTTTACAAATCGTGAAACACAGAATTCACAGGAAAAAATTTATTTTACATAAAAAAGCTTATTTTAGGGGTTAGAGAATATTTAACACGTTAGAGAATGTTTGAGAATATTTTTGTAATATCCAGCATATAATGAACATACCGTATTTCCCGTATATCAGCACCTTGATAAATACAATGTTCACTAAATGATATTTTATTTCTGGGTTTAAATAAAAGTTAATCTCCAGGTATTCCTTATCGATTGCGACAGCACATCGGTTATTTCGTTAGCTGGCACGACTATCCATCGAACAATATACAGTTATTAATTGTTATTGTAAAATGAATTCAATTAAATATACTTAAAACCATATTAATAAAAAATAAATTTAAATGGAATTTTTTTTTTTTAATATTAAAAGAATATTTTGTATATTTAAGGACGTAAAACATCACATATCTGGTTTGCAAAGGAATATTAAGAGAATATATTGCCTATTTTATGTGACATACAAACATCATATTTTAAGGATTTTAAGAGAATATAAATCCGATCTCTAGTTATATAACTAATAAATGTAAAATTACAATTCAGATTTAGGCCTATACGAAAAATAAAAAGTTTTCTTATACATAGATATAAATATAAAAATCATAATAATTATTTCATTTTAAAACACAAGTCTTAGGAGGAGTGCGTTATTCTAGACAAAATAAGTAGAGGGATAAAAAAATATAAATACAAAAGAGTAGAGGGATGTCATCTCTCCGTATCCCCCCCCCCCCAATTCGACCACTGACTACAATACACCTTCGGAAAACATGAATATAAAATAACACTCAAGTTGTATACCGCGAAGAGCGTGTCCGAACTCGGCTGACTTCCCGCCGAATCGTTTACACCGCCTAAGGCTTTACAATAGTCTTGCGCGATCGGTGTGGAATGTCCGCCGCAGGCCATCACCCCTCTATGCGGCGAGCACTCGGCCGGCCGATGTCCACTGCAACTTTCGTCCGATCGTCGCCGGGCTGTTTTTTGCCAACGGCCGAACCTGGCGTGTCTGCGTGACCGCCCGTTCGCCCCGGGTTGTTCCGCTGTCCTCGTGGTCAACCGATCGGATTTTCAGTTTTTCTATATATTTTTATTGTAGTCGTGAGCACTGCAGAGATAGTCGGGGCCTGACGAGTGCGTACACCTCTTTTCACTCAATCTGAGTTATTGACGTTATAATTATAAGCTCCAAACGTCAACAGGTGTTCGGGTTGCAGAGCTTGCAGACCAGGTCCATTAATTATTATTTAACGTTTGATTTGTGTAGACCATATTGTATATTTTTGGAGTTGTCATTTATTAATTTATATTATGATTTTTATAATTGTAGCGCGCAATTACCTGCCCGGGCTATTATTATTATTATTATTATTATCATTGTATTTTTGTGTTATGTAGTGCTCATTGCGCCCATAAGTTGAATATTATAATATTTGTATTGAACATTATATACAGTAGGTGATCCTCCTTCCGTCCATAACATCCCGCAAGTCGTTGCCGCGGCTGCATCCGAATTGCATGCCAAAAAAAAAAAAATGTCTGAATTGCATGCCGTCTCTTGGAGGGGTCTGTCCGAATTGCATGCCACCTCTTAGAAGGCTTTGTCCGGATTGCATGCCGTACACCACACGTTTATTTACTATGCACTTACACAACTTAAACTTTTTTTTGGACTTTCCTAATTTAAAAAAAAAATGCATGTATAAAAACGCTCTTTTATGAATGGCTGTTACAACTTTTTAATGATTAGTTTCTGGATTGAAATATTTTTATATCCGTGTAAATATTTCCCTAAATAGTATCTATATTTGAGTAATGTAGTGTATTGTGACCTCGGTCTGTTTCATAGATACTATATGACCTTACTGATATTATTTTGTTTATTTAAATTGTAATATTGTGTGCCCGAAATGTCAAAAAAAACCACCAAATTTAAAAATAATATTATTTAAAATACACTCACTTGATTACTCTAAACTATAATAGTTTTATTTAACTAATGGCCTTTGTTGTCGATGAAAAAGAAATTATTTTATTTTATGATTCTTATTCACATGGTTACCTTCTACAATATTCATATGTCTTATTGTAATGTAACAAAATCCCGATCCTCCAGTTGAAAAGTAAGTTATTTATTTGGATA